AGAAAGGGAAAGAGGCATCATCTTTTAATGGTTAACGGTTCAGCCATTACGGCGTTTCAAGGCAGAAACAAATAAATGGTTACCTGCAAATATTTGTATGTAAGAATCATCACGATGATACACATCATACCAGCTGCGATCACAAAACCAATCAGCAAAGGCGTGAACAGGGTATGGGCATGGATTTGTTCTAAAATGAAGGAGGAACGTGGAATCACAACCTGTTAGTGGGGTCGGATCTTCACCACGACCACCTTGCCCCCAACTCACCCACCTCCCACCTCACTGCCCATCACGGCAGAAGTCAAACCAGTTGCATCTGAGCTCCTTGCCTTGATGATTATCTTATTCTTGTTATTCAAAGGAATCTTTTAAAGTAACAGCTTTAAACCAGACGACTGTGGAAAAGAAGTTGCGATTTCCATAGCACGAGAATAATGTTAGGCTGTTTGTCAGTGAAAAGCGACATCTCAGTGAACTCTGCACTTCAAATTCCTGCCTTGAACTTTAAGGTGTTTCCTTTATGGATATTTTATAGTTTCTTCTTTATGTTTTCCTGATTTTCCAAATTTTCTACACTGAACATTGAGCTTCTTTCACAACCGAGAAAAACACTTTTAAAGTGTTCTTTTCACTGCACTACCTGAAAAAAAACCTATGATGAAGAACAATGTAAGATTCTTCCCCTCGTTACTCAAAAACTGAACAAACACCACTTTCTGGCACTCGTCTTTGCCAACTCAAGAAACAAAAACCGAGCCCTAAGAATGTAGGTGTCTAGTTCCTTTGTCTTCTGACTTCATGCCAATTCATCAATTCGTCCACGTGCATCGTTCAACTTATGTTAGGAGAGCTGGTCACTCATCAATCAAATTTTAAAGATGGTAAAGAAATAGCTCACTAACATGATTTCATAAAAGGTAATGTTAACCTTCTGATATGGTGTCTGGCAATCTGTTAAAATAACTGATTTTAAGTCACAACTTAAATCATTTTTAATTGAATTTAAATCTTTAAATTGTCCCAATTCTGTTTCTGTTTGGATATAAAGGAAGTCTAGTTCTCCTTTTTTCTTTCTCTACCCCTTTCTAATGGAAACTGTTGGAAATACACAATTAATTTTATACAGATACATATGCACACACATACATACGTGCACGCACGCATAAAATACATATAGTACATGGTTACCGCACACATTTTATTAACAAACTAGCACAGGATGAAACTGAGTAAGTTTGATGACAATCAAATGTGCAATGTGACTAGACTATTACCAGAAATGACATGGCCAGTGATGGAATGGACTTAAAATCATGATTGACATGGCAGGCAGAGCCTAAACATCCCCTTAAATTGGATTAAAAAGAAATATACCTTTGCTGTTACCTTTAAATGCAAAGTTAAAATAGGCAGAACTCTTGCCCACATCGTTGTAAGCCCTGCACTCCACCGTGCCATTGTGCTTAAAGGCGCTGTCATCAATGGAGCTGTAAACCACTAGTTTTCCAAACGGTGACACAGATGAGTTTTGGATCTGCACATCCACTGGCCCAACAGGGACAGAACATCTAGCGGGAAAAAAACAGCAGTGCAGACTTACTCTAGGAAAAAGAATCAATCGATCAAACACATTGGATGTGGCATACTTTGAAAACTAAGTCAGAGGTTTGTAATCAGATATCTCCTTTTACAAACGAAGAGTGTGATGACAGATGAGCACGTCTGTGGCACCGTGAGCAAGAAATGAGCTTGGAAAAGAAGCAAGAGGTTTCAGAGTGAGATGTGGGTTCGAAATCTGGACTCAAACACCTATTCTGTTGACTTCTGACCAGTACTTAAACCCTCCAAGACTCAGTTCCTACAGCTGTAAACTTGGGGTGGTAATACCCATCTTGGAGGGTTATCGAAAGGATCAGAGATGAATTCAATAAGACGGTTGGTTCATATCCTGGCACACAGTAGCCTCTTATAAATAAATGGTGAAAGAACCTATGAAGGATTGAAAAGGAAGA